TGTGAGAAGTGGTGTGAAGAAAACGCATGCACACAGACAAACAGAAAACCTACTACTGTTCCAAACTGTCAGGGTCAATGCATGACTGCTCTTGGCGGGTATGTACTTGGACAGAGGTGGGAGGGCTTGGACTGCTGTGGCCTTGTGCTACCAGCATTGTTGCGCCACATGAATTTCCAAGTCCAACTTACACCAGGCACGAAAACGGTAAACAACGATAACACAATGAGCCTAAGACACCTTTCCGTAGGCAGGCCACCACGTGGGTGTAGTTGGAATGAAGCGTGCCTAATGTCTTCATGCCTGCAAGGTTCCACACACAACATGCATGTAGTGCACACACTACATTGAACTAATTACTAATTACATGTGTTGCAGTTAGTCAAAGTGCTGTAAAACGATAAGATACGATAAGGAAGACAACGACGATCACGTCAACAGTGGTATAGGGAAAGGTAGAGGGGGTGTTTTACACAACCTCATGTGGTCTTCGTTTCTGGCATACGGAAATATTTGTCTTGATGATCATGGGATCGGGATAGCACTCACTTCGCGGAAGAGACGAGAGACTCGGATTCATTCGAATCACCCCCACCACTACGCCCCACGACCCCCGTGTCTTCGCGTGGCAGTGGACCGGGACCGCCTTTTGGAGTGGCAGTCCGTGGCAGGGGGATCTGATTGAACAGGTGAACGCCAGATCCAGACTGACCCAAAGTTCCATCTCAGGCTAGGTGGTCGTCCCCAAACTGATCCTCCACATGGAGTGGAGCTTTTGGCCCCTTCGTATCCCTTCATCACCCCCAACCTCCGGTCCTTGTTGCGCGCCCAGCCTCCGAACACCGGCTCTCCTTGGGCTCTCCCTTCGGCTGAGGTCTTTTGGAGAGCTGGCGGGCTCACTGGCCACGCTGGTGCCTTCGGGATCGGGAGTTGGGCGGAGCAATGTTTGGACGATATGACGTTCACTACTGTCCGAGGCTTTAGGAGGGAGCCGAGTAGTATATAAGGGGTTGAAAGGTTTTTTTGTTGACTCATGCAGTTGTTCTACCTATACTCCTCTCTAGAATCTAGGTATATAAGATTGTTCCTTTGAAAAGAGGACACGTGAGCCTATTCTGGAGGATTTGTTGGGTCAAACGCAGCTGCTTGCCGTTCAAATGGGTAGTCTTTCTAGACCCCAATTGAGTGGATCATGCACCTGACATGGAACTGCGAGGATAGTGCACTCGAGGCGGATCAAAAAGGCCAGCCGCCTTCTGGAGAGGGAAAGAAGAAGCCTTACCTTTGTCCAAGTTGCGACTGGAACACTCGCCCAGTTTGTTCCTTATCAAATGCTTCGTGGAGAGGCAAAACGGATAGTACTATCATAGTCCACATCAAGCAACATCAAGCTGCTCACCCCAAAAAGAGAAGATCAAAGTTCTCGGCTTTGTGGACCATATCCCAAGACCCAAAAACGTATAATCCATCCAAACCAAAAACATCCCTGTCACCAGACCGAGCCCGACTGAATGTCTTGTCTTGAGGCAGAGGCGGGTTTGCGCCCCAGCGACGTGATCGAGGCACCGGGTGCCTCCCGTCACCGGGGCCCAACATGGAAGAAGATCCCCAAGAGAGTAGCGTGTTGTTCATGCCACCCGACTCTATAGAGGTCGACATGGAGGCAGGCTGACATGTAGACTTCAAAAGCAGGTGGTGACCTGGCAGGTTGGTCCTGGTGGTTGTTCATGGCTTGTTGGGCGCCACGGAGCGAACTCGAACTCGACGGAGAGGTGTAGGTGGATAGACACGAGAGGTGTAAGTTTCGTCCGTTTGACGGGTCAGCAAGACTTATATATATAATATAGATCAAGTGCAGGAAGACAGCATTTAAATAAAGCTAACGAAGCTTCGGGTTCATTTCCGGTAAACGAGCTCAAGACCATAGTGGGTTCCAGTGGTTTGTAAGCACTCCATGGACATAAATTGGTTGAAAGGACAAGCGCTGCTCAGCGGATACCATTTAGATCTAATGATCTAACTGTTTGCAACATCTTGGAGCCATGTTTGATGCAATGAACTGGCAAGGGTGGTGTGCACGATATTCTGTGAGAAATCATATTGTTTATGTTATATATATATATATATTACATAGAGAGGCAGAGAGAGACTTCCCCATGGTCCTGGCCTTTGCGAAAGAAAGTTTTGCATTGGGCCTGTCCTAGTAAACAGTTATTACCTTTTTTGGAACAAGGCCTTTACTACTAGGAGCAAGGACGCTACTAGGTGCTCCTGGCATCGCTACTAGGAACGAAGCTACTAGGGGCTCCTGGCATCGCTACTAGGAGCAAGGACGCTACTCATCATCCAGTGAAGCCTGGCAATAGGATAGGCTCCAGACTTGCAGATCGCTCCGCAGGCCCTGACCCAGGTGGCGCAGGCTTGAAGTGGGAGAAGCGTAGGGCTTGGAGTCCGCCAAAGAGGCGCAGGTTGGAAGAAAACGATTTTCTTGCACCTTCCATGCAACAAGCTAGTTCTTTCAGTAGAGGACCAGGAACGTCAAGTCCTACTTCAAGTCCTTTTGAGGGGTGATGGTCTACAATTTTAATCCAGCTTCTCAGCTTGCTGGATGTATTTTTTCAGATGTTGGAACTGTTGAGTTTTGTTGGAACTGTGGAGATCGGAGCATCACATGGGTTTGCTGCTCACGATGGCGACAATTCTTGAGCAAGACCTGCGCACGACAGTGCACCTGACCGCTGCCTTTGGGCCGCTTGTCAGCTTAAGAGCTTGACGCTATGGGACACCCCAGCCGCGGGGTCTGAGTGTTGAGGATACTGCCTATACACCATGATGGACGGTTGACGAACAAATCCCCTTCCCAGTGGTGGAGAGATGTTGGACCATTCAGAATCAGGTTCGGGGCGTTTTACTCATCAATCGTCAACATTAATTGCTGTAAAGTTTGCTGTAAATATCCTCCTGCACATGACTCTCTCTTCGAGAGGCTCAGAGCTTCCCGCCTCCCGGAGACCCCAGAGCGGCGCAAGAGGCTGTGAAGCGGAAGCGGGAGGAGGGTAGGGGGGGTAGAAGTGGTGTTGGAAAAATGGCACCTTCTTATTTTGTCAAACTCCACGTGGCACCTAAGTCTTTAGGTGCCACATGGCACAATATGGCACCACCGTCCTAAGCATTGTTCGGCTCCACATGACTCCACTCCACGAATTCGACACCGGGCCATTGGATTCGACACCCCGCCGGAAACGCGCGATGCGCAGCGCCAGCGCATTGGATGGACTGCGTTGGGTCGCTCTTGTTCCATGGGCTTCGTGTTTTTTTTTCAGCTGAGGGTCGTCCAAGTAACTTTTGGTGCAGGAGTGACAAAAAACAAGAAAATAGTTCATACGAGCTATATTCAGTGGTTTCAGAGCAGATGGCATAATCCCCAAGATCGGCGGTTTATACATCAATGGACCCGAATCTAAAGGACATCTTGAGGTTTGCGCGATCTACTCTAAACCACTGGTATAGAAATATTATGAATTATTCTAGCCTTCATATGTTATTATATATCCGCCAGTTCAACAAAACCCTTATTAAGAACCACGTACGTGGATCTGAAATTAGAAACCCTGATTAATCAATTATAACTCATTAAAAGGCCCTCATTCAGAACCACCTGGTTCGTTACCTGATATGACTCGCATCTTTTGGGAGCTGGTGGATGTTGGGATGTCACATTGTGATCTCCAAGCTGGGGAGGGCCGCTTGTGGGCGGGAGTTTGGTTCACATAGTATAATGAGCATAATGTCTTCAATCACCTGTAGGAGGCAATAGTACACTGAACACATGGACTGTCAGTGACTAAAGTGACTGAAGTCAAAAAACAAGGTGCTCCATGTTGGTGTCTTTGAGGAGTTGTTGTTGCCCCCAATTATACCCGGGAGGTTAGTTCTCGTTACCCGTCCCGGACTCTTTCGAGGTGGCAGACTTGCTCTATGGCTTGGCAGCAGGCAGTTTGTGCAGCGACACCGCGACACCATCGTGGGGCGCGGGGCAGCTCATGTTGGATGGTGGGTTGGGATCAGACGGCGCGGGCAGTCTGCCAGCAGAGCAAACAGATGGATGTGGCTTAATTATTATAAAGACAGGTGTTCCCGAAAGAAGTTGCGGCTAAAAAAAACGCGCGAGGTTGCGGCGAATCGGGAAGGTTCTGCGCAACACGGTCTGAGAAGAAGGCTAGGGGCCTGAACATGCATAAGTCACAACCGATTCACCAACACATATCTCATCAGATCCCAGGATCCACTGCCGAGCCAATATTCAAAACCCGGATGTTGGGGGGAGGGTCTTAAAGGGGTGGGCGCCCAAATCCATCCCCATCCCATCTCCACGGTCGCGCCAACGTTGGTTGGGCCTTCAGGGTCTGCGCCAAAAGCGTCGCGTTCCTCGGAAACTGCGCATTGGAGGTGGCTCGTCGCTGGACGCGTGGCATGAGCGCCTCAGCGTTTTCCTCAAACAGTTGGTTGAGGTGGGGAGGGGAAAGACGGGAATGGCGAGGGTGTTTGGGGGCTGCGAAGTCTATGTGTGTTGGGTGCTTTAGCTCCATGTTGGGGTTTTCCTTCGAAGTGCCAGTCAGTTTCTTTTGAGGCAAGCATCGTACACCGGATCAGTTTCTCAGATACACGCATGGAAAAGGACGATGTAAGCATTCGAGAGTGTGCTCGGATGCAAGACACTTTGGATAACATACATGTTGAATCGGCTTGGGGAAGATTGAAGCTTGCTGACAACTCAGGCAGGGGGCATAATTAATAATGATTGATAACACCTTTTTGGATTCTACAACCTTAAAATAGTGATGTATATATAAAATATTATAAAGTGTAAGCAACCTGGCTGGCTGGAGTCCAAACCTTCGTTGTGCTGTGTTCTACCTACCCCGTTTTTCACAGCGGCTGTTGCAGGGTCAAGGTCTGTTCGGCAAGGCTAGAGAGTTTCGCCACGCAGCATCGCTAACATGGCTGGCCGCTTATGCCACCAAGCCACCTTCATTGATGTGAAGAGGGTGCCAATGATGGCGCGATCCAAGAGCTGGCCAGTCTTGCAGCCACCCAAAGAGGATGTAGATCTCGAGGACTTTGTGTCAGTTTCTAGTGCAATTTGGGACTCATCTTGGATAAGATTATCATATTGCTACAAGAGTGTGGGTTTGCTGCCCAAGCCACAAGGTGCAAGTTTGCTTGGGGGGCGGACTGGTATAGAGACAGGCTTCCCAAGTGTCACCGGCGAAAGGTCCATCGGGTTTGGTTCGCAGCTTCATCAACACATGATCCACGCGAAGAGAGAACTTGGCACCCAAATCCAACGATACTACGCAACGGCACCATCGCAACTTCACCTACAAGCCAGAACGAGCAAACCTGCGACAGCGTGACCCGACTTCAGTATCTCAGCGTGACGACATGTCAGCATGTTAGCGTTGCTCATACCACATTTCAGCGTGACACCATACCAATTCGCAGCATATCAGCGTGATATCAAGCATGTCAGCGTATGGAAGCTCCGGAACCCTCCTTAGCAACCTCCTCAAATCCACCTGGTCCGGACATGCTGCACCGATCGGCTCCGAAGTCTTGGCGGCTGAAGACAACTACAGTAAGCTTCGCCAGCTTGGGGAAATAATGCTTTGGCATTTGCCACTCACTTGTTGATCATTTATGGTGTTTGAGAGAAACTCTTCAACTGACACCTGAGGAGTATATGGATGTCTTGGAGCAACGTGCCAGCCGTCCTACCTTCATCCATGGCCTCAACTACTTGGCTGTGCAATCGAACCGGTCAAGGCCCATCAGAGGTGAACATTTGAGCTCCAAGTAGCGGTTGCAAGTAGCGGTTGCGACAGCTTTGCCGCATTTGCCGCTTTGAGAGCTGCTATAGGCATGAGGTGTTGTGAGAGTTGTTTGATTGGTCGTGATATATGAGCCATCAAAGGAAGGATGACCTGCAGAAAGATGCAGGCATGTCCTGAAGTGCCTGACAGCCTCACCCTCCTCGGAGTTTTGGCCAGGGTAGGTGGATTTTGGCAACGAGCCAGCACCTCCTGTGGCCTTATTTGTTCACACTTTAATTCTGGTCATACGTTTGCCAGTTCAATTCTATAATGGAAGGATTTCATTCATTGATTTTTGGTTTTGGCAGACGGTCATGAAAAACTTCACATCCTGTGATTTTTGCTGCCCAAGGGCGTCTCCAATCAACAGATCACAACTTGCAGCTCCCTTTCAGGGGGCGTCTTGTTGAATGAACCTCAAAGACCTTCTTCGGTGCTCCAAGGCGTATCGCTTTGGACAGACCCTTTGCTCAACACATGTTTGTCGCAAAAGTGCACCGGTGCTGATGGTGCTGGGAATGCGAGTTTTGTCACACATGTTTTTGCTCACAGGCACTGAAGGGTGTTCTTTGACCTGAGTCAGGGAGATGTTTGCATGGAAGATGATGATGCGCCTCAAAGAATGAATGAGAAAGTGTATACCGGTTCTTTTTAATATGTTGAAGTTTGAAGTTTGCTGAGGCATCGCACTATAGTGTAAACAAACCGGCTGCTTTGTCCAAATCATTGTTGAGCTGCGTATTGCTTGCTGTCAAGCCTGTTTGCCCGGGACATGGAGGCCATGAATTGGGAGAAAGCAGCTAATTTGAAGTCCCAGTGATCCAGAATAGAGTGGTTTTTGGGCAGATTTCAGGCACCTCGGCGTGTGCGGCTGCTTGTGCCGTCCTGGATTCCGTTGTCCTTCAAAACTGGTGGTCGTAACCGGTAGGGAGAGGCTGCTTGATCATACACTATATAATTGGGCCTGGGTTTCTTCTTCCACCAATGTGGAGGCCATAGAGAAAAGCAGATCCAAACATCCCGGAGGACGCACACAACACCTATCTATCACCATGAAATGGGCCTTCCTCCAGTTCTTTCCGGCAAGGCATCACTTGAGCAGTGCTTGATGGGCGCGGGTCCCATTGACGGGGCTTGGCGATGTGTGTGTGTGTGTGTTTTTAGAATGGGTTTAAAATCCCCTCCATCCTAGCGGAACATGAAGCTCGGAATGCTATTCTCACGTTCTGTGTCCGCGGTCATGTTTGTTGGTAGTGCACTACTTAGGTTTGGAATTTGGACTGGAAAACATCGGGAGGACCTCTGTGCCATTGGTATTTTGACCAAGGCAAACCTTTCCAAGACCTTCTCCCCAAGGTGTCAACAACCGGGGTTGTGGCAAACAACAGACCAATTTCCCAAATAATTTGTGTTCCACTTTTTGAGTTAGATTTGTAGCTTGCTATCCACAAAAAGTGACCGCGCGCTGGCAGGGAGCATCAATCAGTTTAGCACAGGAGTTTTTCACGGCCAGATCGCAAAGATCAGCATGCTGGGCCAGCCCATGGTTTGCCGCTAAAAGCTTTATGGAGCCTCTTTAAGAACAAGGAATCAACAAACCCCTTGAACCCTTACAAAGAACAGCCTCTTTGTTTTCATTTACAGCCTCTTTACAGTTATGGACGGCCCCAAAGAAAAACAAAGAACTGCAAATTAGCCAATGGCAAAACGCACGCTTTTTCCATCAGGTCGAAGACCCTTGAAGGTTGGCGCTCGGTTGCTAGTCAGGACCTTGGGATGTGTGTGTGGCATGGGGGCTGAATGTACACTGCAGTGCAGTGACGTGACTGACCTGGTTTTGCTTAAGGTGTGTTTTCCAGTTTCCTAAAGCAAATCCAAGCTGAAGAGTGGTTGGCACAATCACTCTTGCTTGGATGTCTTCTGAAGCAGGGGTGCTTAGCTCTCGTCAATTTCCAGCTGAACATGTCTATAGACAGGCCCACTTTGATGGGCAAGGGTGACTGTTGCGGGTGACTGGTGTTTCGTAGATTGGGTCAGGTTGAATTCTCGTGGACAAGTGCCTCCGTATTTACTTGGTGCTTACAACAAGCTACGGTGAGTGGTGAGTATGCTCACCACTTATGGGGTCCATTCTCACTGAAGTCCAAAAGTATAGCAGATCGATTTGTGGTTGGCCCACGATTCTTGTCTCGTAAGGCAGCGGTGCAAGTGCATGATCCCGACTGGTGACCAGATGGGTGGTTTATCCAGAGAGTTTCTTCGTTCCGCTGTGATTGGCTGGGCGGAAACATCATGGACGACCACATGGTTTTCTAGCGAACCCACTCGAACCCCAGTCCAGTGGCTCCTTCTTGTCGACAAATCCGGGTGACGTCTCGGTTTTCACCCACTCCTACCGCCTACCGTGGGGCTTTGGAAGAGAACTGTTTCCTCGACCAGCAGTTCTGCTGGGCCTGGGGGGGCTTTAGGTGTCCATCTCAGCTTTGGCAGATTGTTCTCCTTCATCCATCTTGTGGCTCGAGTGTGGCGGCTTTCAACTGGAACGAACAGCAGAACAGGTGCTCAAGGTTCTGTTACTAGAAACAGAGAGAAGCCATGACAAGCCGCTAGTGGTAGTTATATGTAGTTATTCTCAGAGCTACATCAAACGACCACAATCAACTAACTAGAATTTGCACGTTTCGTAATGTTTTGTATCAAGGGGATCCTGGAGTCGGATTCGCTCCTGGTAGTCGGGCCCATAAGCAGAAAGAAACACAATGGATGCAACAAATGACATGAACAAGCACCAGTTCAACGGAGAGCTTGCCAAAACAGTCACAGACAGTCACAAACATCCCAGATCTCTCGCCAGGCTCCAGCGCGTTGCCTGAAAACCCAATAAAAAACAGACGCACTCTGTGCCTATCGGTCCGTGCCTTCCGCGGCCACGCCTGCCGCGTGGCCGCGTCGCCGCGACCGGTCAGATGCCACGTGGTCAGATGGAAGTGACTGAGGCCTGGCAGCCCACAAGGCTCGGAAAAGCGACCTCTCCGTCGGACCGAGCCGAGCTTGCGCGGCTTGCGCCTTATGCCTCCCTCAAACGGCTTGAAGGTAGCTGCGAAGCTGGCTAGCTTCAAGATGTGCGTGATATGGATGTTTGCAGGCACCGAGGTGGGTGCGCTGGGGTAGTAGTTTTGCTAAGGGCATCGCTTGATCAGTCAAACCACAGGCCCCAACAATGAAACAAAGATTGTTCAATCATGTTCAATCTCAGGAGACTCTGGTACTCACTGATGCCCCATGTTTGAGGCATAGGCAGTGCTGCCACCTCACGTCTAGAGAGTCTAGAGAGCCTACCATCTATTAGGTGTTGGGGTATGTTGGGGTCTTTTATTTGAGGCTTCAGACTGGGAGGACCTTTTTAGCGACTCCCTCCAAGAGGCTTCTCAATTTTCAATCTGAAGACTTTGAACATTGAAGACCTTGACTTTGCTGCAAACTGGCCGGCAGAACGTCCCCAGAGTTCCACCTGCTGGAGCCTCCAGTGGACGGGGACCCGGAACCGCGACCCGGACCGGAGCCGCATGGAGCCCGCGGAGCGTCGGAACATGAGGGTCCAGGGTCCACCGTCGGGTTCACCACAGTGCCAAGCAGAAAGACATGGGGAAACCCCAAAAAGCCACTTCTTATGATTCTTATGTAAAGGATCAACCATTTGCCGCACTGGAACAATGCTTTTCGAACAGCGCGCGCTTTCCAGCGTTCGCCAGGCGTGCTGCTAGGTTCAAGTGGCTTGATGCAAAGTACGAAAAGTCGCACGTCGTCGACTCGCTCGCGCGACGGGTGGAGAAGGGCTGAAATACGGCGGTTTCTGTAGTTCAAAAGAAGGATTCCGAAAGGCGGCACGGAAGAGATGGGTCAGGAAGTTGTATACCAAACCAAGTACTCGTACTGATGGTTTGGAATGGTAATTATAATTGGTTTCTCTACAGTGTGCGGGGATGAAATTCTTGGACCTTTGCACACAGACAACTGCTTCTGAGCCTTTCAGAGGAGACTGTGATCCCACAGCGGATCAGAGACCGAGCTCCACTGGAATCCATTGGATCTCAAACGAGATTTGGTCCACATCCCTGACACCCCTTCCGGCTGGATGTGGTCGGGCCTCATCCATGGTCCCCGCGGTTGGGCAGGTCGAAGGCATCACTGGGATGATCGGAAGCCGTAGTTCATGGTTTCTCTGTGGGCATCCATCAGAAAGGGGTCAGATTGCATGGGTTTCAGACCGCATCAAGGGCTTCGGAAGGTGGTGTCCTTTATCGTGCGTTCCAGCGCTGGTCTCGAAGACGGGTTTGAGCCACATACATGGAATATAATAGAAGATTGCGACAGGACTCCTATACTATCCTATACCACTGGTCAACATTGATTCGCAATGTACAATATGATAGTACCACACGGGGGTCTCCACAGACGAAACTTACAAAGTCCGGTGTACACAAGTGCACACATCACCCCTGAGGCTCCAACCACCTGAGGTTCGGTGCTTGGGGTGAGTGTCAGGGGGGGTCGAAGAGCAAAGCTCCCTGATGGGCCAGGCGGACCTTGTCCGCCACGCATGGAGGACGGGGGCCCAGCTCAGCTGCCCCAGCTGCGAGCTCAGCTCGATCGTCGGCGCGAATAACCACCCTGAGGATCAATCTCCTTCAGATCCGTGGCTGCGCGATCCTATTGATCGCTACCTGGACTGCAGAAAACGAGCCTGGAATGGCTGCAGAAAACATTCCGAAAAAAAGAAGCTGAGATAGTACCCCAGGTAGCCTGTGGGGGTAGACTGTGGGGTTGTCCCCAAATGCGCCAATGCTGGAAACATGACTCAGAGATACTCAGAGTCCTTTAAGCCATAAACATTCTGAAAGCTAGATTGTTTAGCTCCTCTTGCAAGCTTCAACGGATGTGTTGCAGGTGGGTTCCTTTTTCTGCGTTGCTGCTAG